AAGCCAAAATTCACATTTGACAGTTTAGCATACAGTTTCTATTCTCTTAGGGTTTGTAGGGCAAGTCTCAGATGATGTTCATGTTCTTCTATACTTTTGGAGTAAATCAGTATAGTCATCAATAAATACAACAATAAGTCATCAAGGTACGGTTTAAAAATTCTGTTCATGAGATCCATAAATGCAGCTGGTGCGTTCGTGACTCCAAAAGGGCATAACTAAAAATTCGTAGTGTCCATACCTCGTTCTAAAAGCAGTTTTATCAATGTCATCTGATTTAACTTTCAACTGATGGTATCTGGATCTGAGATCAATCTTCGAAAATACTTTAGCACCCTGTAACTGATCAAACAGGTCATCAATACGTGGTAATGGGTATTTATTCTTTACAGTTACCTTATTCAGTTCACGATAGTCAATGCACAGTCTCAGTGAGCCGTCTTTCTTCTTTACAAACAAAGCAGGTGCGCCCCATGGTGAGGTACTAGGTCTGATGAACTTTTTGTCTAATAGTTCTTGCAATTGCACCTTCAGATCTTTCAATTCAGTTGGAGCCATTCGGTAAGGAGCTTTAGATACTGGCTGTGTTCCGGGAACCACATCAACGGTAAATTCAATCTCCCTGTCAGTCAAATCTCCTGGAAAAATATCTGGAAAAACATCTGGGAATTCTCTGACTATAGGAATACAGTTCACATTAGCGGTATCATCAGTAGACACAGTCAATACAGAACACAGATATCCCTTACAGCCTTTTCTAATCAATTTTACAGCTTTAACAGATGAAATCAGATACGGGGGAGGTACTACTCCAACCCTATTAAACACAAATTCAGGTAGACCAGGTGGATGGAAAACTACTTGTTTCGTTACACAGTCTATGGTGGCATGATATTTCGTTAACCAGTCCATCCCCAATATAACATCAAAATGGTCAATGTTCAATGGCAGTAAATCGATAAATAGATGTGCATCTCCAACAATGATTTCACAAGCAAGGTACATGTATGCACAGGTCATAGATCCCCCAACGGGTGATGATACAGCTAACAGATAATTCATGGGTTCTAAGGGTCTATTCAATTTACGCGAAAAAGCATGCGACACATAAGAATGCGTAGACCCCAAATCAATCAGTACATAAGCATTTTGAGTACAAATAAAGAGAATACCTGACACAACGGTCTCGGTATTCTGGACGTCTCCCGGTACTAGGGCGAACACTCGGCCCTGCCTTATAGGCTCTTTCCTGGTAGCTTTGGGGTTCAGTTTCGGTGTAACAGTTGATGCCGCTACGCTTGGTGTAGCTTTACTACTAGTTTGTGGAGCAGAGGGACAGTCTTTAACCATGTGGCCCACTTTGCTACACCTGTAACAGGCTCCTGATATCTTGTAACAAACTCCCATGTGATTTTTACCACATTCAGAACAGGGCGATATTGTACGGTTTCCTTGACTAGACGTAGCCGTTGACCCTGTGTTCTGTTTCTTGTTCAATGGACTATGCTTGCCTTTCTTAAACTTTATATACATATATACATATATCTAATTGAAACAGGCCTAACTAAAGTTTTCATAATTGGTATCTTATATATATACATATATACATATATCTAATTGAAACAGGCCTAACTAAAGTTTTCATAATTGGTATCTTATATATATACATATATACATATATCTAATTGAAACAGGCCTAACTAAAGTTTTCATAATTGGTATCTTATATATATACATATATACATATATCTAATTGAAACAGGCCTAACTAAAGTTTTCATAATTGGTATCTTATATATATACATATATACATATATCTAATTGAAACAGGCCTAACTAAAGTTTTCATAATTGGTATCTTATATATATACATATATACATATATCTAATTGAAACAGGCCTAACTAAAGTTTTCATAATTGGTATCTTATATATATACATATATACATATATCTAATTGAAACAGGCCTAACTAAAGTTTTCATAATTGGTATCTTATATATATACATATATACATATATCTAATTGAAACAGGCCTAACTAAAGTTTTCATAATTGGTATCTTATATATATACATATATACATATATCTAATTGAAACAGGCCTAACTAAAGTTTTCATAATTGGTATCTTATATATATACATATATACATATATCTAATTGAAACAGGCCTAACTAAAGTTTTCATAATTGGTATCTTATATATATACATATATACCTGTGGGATTGCAAGGCTTGCAATGGTGAGACCAGAGATGACATCAGACCTTAGAAGATTTAGACTATAATTGGGTCCCCACTGAAAAACAGGGAAGAAAAATTGAAGACCCAGAAGCAATTTTTGACAGCATGCTTGGTTCTTGAACCTGTGAAGAGGATCATCTGGGAAGAAAATCTCAGACAGTTTGTCTCTGAGTTTCTCAATGGTGGTTTTGTGGGGTGGCAATCACACTGTGCAATTCCCAAAGATGATATGAATAAAATTTATTGATACAAAGAAATTTTGTTTGATAAAATTTGATATGTGCAGATTTTATTTTATAACATATCAAATGTTGATCAGAAATGATGATAAACAGAAATGAACCCAAGTCAAGGATTTCAAAGCAAACTCAATATGTTCGCAATTAGAATCTCACCTGAAAACTTTCTGCTTTCTTCGTAAGCCTTTCAAGCCAAAATATGAAATTTCAAGTGGAAACTGAAATCATTAGATTTTATTTTTTAACATATCAAATGTTGATCAGCAGATTTATACTATATAGCACAAAGAATCCCAATTGTTGTGAATTCTCTATGGTTATTTGCATTGAAATTGTTTGTTCATCCTATTGTTGCTTTAATTGCTGAAAATTTAGTTAATTGTTTGTGGTTTTGACGATTTCTGATTGTGATGCGAAGTTCGGTGATTCTCTATAAATTCATGTAAACTATGTCTGTAAATTCATGTACACTATGTTTGTAAAAATATTTTGAATATCGTTTAATTAAAACCGACTGCTATGAAGAATGAATAATGCCTCTGCTCTCATGAGTCAGACCCCCAGTTTAAGGTGAGTACACAATGAAATCTATTGAAAATTTTATTACGCATGTATAGACTGACTATGCATTTTTGTGGGGGAGTATTTGAAAAAAAATGTGACAATTGTTGCTTTTGTTTTCATTTTTATATTTATTTTTTCTAAACTCGAACAATGATCATTAGGTGAATCATTTAGTGATTTTAAAATTTGAGTAATGAGAAAGACTCAAAAACTGTGATCTAAGACTCAAACGTTGATTAAAAAAATGAACAATTCAAATCTTAATATTATTTTAGTCTGTTATTATGATAATTTAAATTGTTCATTTTTTCAAATCCTATGTACAAATTAGTTATGAGAAAATTTAGATTGATAAGATAATTGTAACTACATTATTTCATCATATATATTTATCTTAAAAAAATAGACGATAAGTATAATTTTAAAAATAATTCACAATTTTTTTTATATATAAAATCACATAATTATAATTACTAAATTAATATAATTCTGTTTATGAATAATTTACAAATAACAAATAAACAAATTAAATAATTTTATGGTATATCTACACCCCCACAAAGCCTCCAACTCACACAGTGGATTGGGAAGAATTCTCCCCTTACTATAAATAGGACAATAAAAGACTAATATATCTGAATTTACTTTTTGTAGAAAGGAAATGGCGACTGATTCTCCTTTGGTCACACATTCTTGTTGGGTTTCTCTATTACATCTATTCCTCTTTTCTACTCAGTCCATTTCTCTTTGGCTTTTTCTTCGGTTCTTTTCATTTTCTTTGTCGTCGACTATGAAGCACCGACACTTCAACATAGGTACCTTTACCCATATCATAGTTTCAACAACAATAAAACTAATCATAAAATTAATCACAAAAGATACACGGGGAAAAAATATAACTACAGATATTAAACATTAAAGCTTGTCATTGAATAATTATAAACTACTACACTTAAATTTTGCCCCTCATAATTCTAAATTGTAAATGTATTTTAGTGGTCAATTCTGTATATAAATAAAACAGTACTTCTCTTTGCATAGAAACTAATCTAAAAATCAGAGGCAATCGTTATATGATTAGTTTCTGTGTTTCTAAAAATCGGACATAATTTTCATATGATCAGTATATGTGTTTCTAGACTTTTTCATTAATAAAATTATGGAATTGAAATTTGAGAGGTAGGGCTACCCCTCTATTACAGCCCATCCCATTCTATTTGCTTTTGTGTTGGAAAAATGTGAGGTGCCTTCAGATGGTGTTCCCATGTGGGTTCATGACAGACCTGTCACTGGCTAACTAATTGTCTAACTGATCCAAACACCCATGTTTTCATCCCAAATGCTTCCTCTGTGTGGTATTGCCAACGAATTTGATTTACTGTCAATCTGGATTCTGTAGTTCTGAAAGTAGTTTGGGACAACACTAAAAACATACCTATAAAACCCATGAAGAAAAACACCTTTACGGAGTGTTCTTTCTTTGGCCATCACATCATTCACCAAACTTTAAATTTTCCCTCAGTCACCAAGTTATATTAAATCATAATTGAAAATGGCAAAATGGAACAACAAGAGAACCAAATGTTGATCAGCAGATTTTTTACCCCTCAATCAATGATATTTTTTCAATCAATGACATTTTAATGGTCCTGATCTATTATGATATTTTTAGGCAAAATGGCAAGAGAAGACAACGAAGGGGAATAGAGAGAGAAAGGGAATAGAGACAGAAATCTTACCTTGCACAGATGATATGAATAAATCGTGAACCAAAAATGATGATAAACAGAAATGAACCCAAGTCAAGGATTTCAAAGCAAACTCAACATGGCATTTTGTAACATTCCTGTTATGGCAGTTTGTGTGTTCCTGTTATGTTGATGCAGAATCTATAATGTCTATAATGGCCATAAGTTATGGCAGTTTGTGTGTTCCTGTGTGTTCCTGTTAAACTACAAAATGCCATTACAGACAGGGGCCATAAGTTGATGCAGAATCTTCATAAACAGGGGCCACATCACAGGAACACACAAAAAATGTGAGCCATTATCGATCTGCAGCATAACCCTAGCAGCCCAATACTCCAACACCTGCAAATAATTGATTGAAATCAATCCAAAATAATGTGAGCTTTGTGATAAACCAAAGGGTTTCCAAGCTAAGGTTTTACCCAAAACTTGGCATGCAAAACCAATAACTACAGTGTAAGCTATGACAATATGTTTCATGTAAAATTATCGATTATATGAGTCAACATAGATAGCAAGTGAATAGGTTTTATGAAATTTGTAAAATTTCCACTATAATCTCATGTAACCAACAAAGATCACCTTGTGAAAGATAGTATGAAGAAAGTGAAATCTGAAATTGATCCAGAATCCAGATACATAATCTTTAACAAATTAAAATTAAAATTTCTAACAAATTTCGTATACACTCAAATTAATTAAAATTTCTAACAAATTTTGTGAAGGATACACTCGAATCTCTAACAGATTAAAATTTCATAGAACAAATTAAAATCCAAAATTGAAAAGTAAACCTTCCAGAACTTGATGATGAATTCCCATTCTGTCTTGGTAACGACCACGAACATTGCAATCACAACCGCATAGCACCGAAATATGCCATCAAATATCTACAAATATCCACAAATCAATAAATTTACATACAAATCCAGAGGCATATATATATATATATATAGAGAGAGAGAGAGAGACAAAGAGGGAGGGGGGATTACATACATCAAATCCATCTTTGAAGGAACGAATGGCAGAGAGAATGTTGACAGAGATGCAGAGAATGGCAGCCGCAGAGATTACGATGCTGAAGCATCGGCAAACGACCAAGAAAGGATCGGGTCTGGATCTAACTCTAATGGCGGCGAAGGGGGAGGTGGAGGCGGTTGAAGCGCCGCAGTGTTGGTTCTCGCCCTGTGCGCTGTTTCTCGCCATTTTCTGGGACTTTCTCTGCCCCGAGAAAATTTCTGTGTAGCTCTCCCAAACACACACAGTAAAAGAAACCCTAAGCTTGAATCGAAGCCATCAAAACCATCACATATTGAGATGGAGAGGGAGTTGTAATTTTGAAATCAAAGATGTGAGAAAGAATGGAGGACGGCTGGAAATGAGAGTCTGAGGTGTGTTTGGTACTCTTGTCATGGGCGGGAAACCAAAGCATTGAGAACTACACATTTTGGTTAACAACACATTTTGACCATCTGATCTCGAGTCAAGAATCATCTCAGCCGTTAATGAATGCCACGTAGGACAAAAACATATGAGAGATTCAAACTCACCCTTCCATTGTTATATAGATGTCTCAAAAAAATTATCATAAAAAGAGGTACGACTGAAATTTAATTAGTATATTGTGGACTTTATATACAAAAATGAATCTGAATAAAATTTTAAATATGTAACATTATTGATAGTTTGTGTATCATTTTATCATTTTTATTTTGAATAATTATTCACTAATAATGAAATAAGTATTGTTTGCATGTTGGCGTGGTGGAGTTAATGGTAGACGAGGTGACAGTGGTCGTATTGGTAGTATAGTGGAGTTTGGTGAGACTTTAATTTGAAAAAAAAATTCGCCTTTCAAAGGTAAAAAAATATTTTTCATCTAAATAAGTTTATTTTCCGTTGTTAACGAAAATAAAATAAAATAAAGGGAGACTTATTTATAAGTCCTTTTTCAGACACTTATGGTAGACTAAGTCCTATGTAATTTCTTATAGAGTTTCAAGTCCTATTTAGATAGGAATGTATTCCACAAGATCCTATATAAACGTAACGTAACGTGACACCTATATAAACGTAACGTAACGTGACACCTACATAAACGTAACGTGACACTTACATAAACGTAACGTAACGTGTCACGTTACGTTTCGCAAACTTAATGAGTTTTTATTTTTTTAAATTGAATGTGAAAATGTTGTTAGTTTATGTTGATGCCACGTTACGTTTCATATAAATATGATCTATGGCAACATTCAATTTCCTAACATTTACGTTACGTTTATGTAGGTGTCACGTTACGTTACGTTTATGTAGATATGATCTATGGTAACATTCAATTTCTTATATAGGAAATTGAATGTTGCCATAAATCATAGATGTCACGTTACGTTACGTTTATGTAGATATGATCTATGGTAACATGCAAGGAAATTGCATGTTACCATAGATCATAGGTGTCACGTTACGTTTATGTACGTGTCACGTTACGTTACGTTTATATAGATATGATTTATAGTAACATTCAATTTCTTATATATGGTTTTACTATTATTTATGATATTAATAACTAATATTGAGGGTAAATGCGTCAACAAACTTCCTACAGGACTTATGGAAACATAAGTTTTTTAGTAGGACCATATGTAGTATAAGTCTTCCTAATATGACTTATAAATAATTTTTTCTAAAATAAAACAAAAAAATTAAAAAAAAATCATTAACTTTTGTGTTCAGGCATACCAAACGTCAATAAGTGCTAAAAAAAAATATTTTCCGCTTAAACAAAACATTAGCATGGGACAATATTGATCCACCTTTTTTTTAGAAAAAAAAAATTTATTGATGAAATTTAAAAGTACAAGAGCCATAAAACCACATTAGTATTAGTCTACCTTAGGTAATTAAGAGATAAGGAGTAACTCAGTTTATGTTGCAATTTCTCAATTGTCGAGTAAACCATGCAAACAATGCCATGGAATTCTCCAACGCTACCTAATTATTTTGAGTTAATTACACTAATATTTCTTTAACTATTTATGAATGTCAGCTTTATCTCAACTATGAAAATAATATAAATATACCAGTTTTGAAGGCAATCTAGAGGGGGTCTGCAAAGGGACAAAAGTGATATATTTTTGAAATACTTATGTGTAGGTCCTAATAAGTAGACTTATTATCTAATAGATTTTATGAAAAAAATTTATTATAAAAAAAGTCACTAATTGTAAGTTTTAGTAACAATTCACAAAAATCATTACAAATAAAGTCACTAATTGTCAATTTTTAGTGACGTACCTAAAAAATTGTCAAAAAAAAAATATTTTTAACGATAATTTTACCAAGACTTATTTTCAATATGACTTAAATAGGACTTGATGAGAATTAAATCAAATTATTAAAACATATTGGTAGTTTATCCTATATTTTTGGATAAATTACAAACAAAACCCCTGAAGTTTACTTAAATTACAAATTATCCTTGTAGTTTTAAAAATTATATTATGCCTTTTAAAATTTCTAATTTCATAACAAATAAATCATTTTATTAATAAATCATTAAGTTAATTAATAATTTTTAATAATATTAAAATTTTATTTCAATTAATAATTCAGATAATTTTATTATTGTATAAGTGAACAATTAAAAATTTCATTTTTTTAATAAATTCTGTTAAATAAAAAATTCTGACAAAGATATATTTATAATTTTTCAAATCGCAAGAAATAATTCATATTTTAAATAAACCTCAAGAGGTATATTTATAATTTATCCTATATTTTTATAGTTGAAAAAAGTCAAAATATACAGATTCACAGATAAAAAAGGTAGAATGATATTCAATAATAGTGAAAGAGATTTTGGTGTAAATATCCCTAATTATTTATTTTATTTATTTATTTATTTGGCTTATTTCCTAGCTAAAGCAGAGATATATGGAACAACAGACCAACAATTGTCATAATAAGCCAAGGGAACCAACAAACAAAGGGTCAGCAATAAGAGCAAGAAGAAGACAATTCTTCCTCATCTCTACCACCAAACAACAAATTTACACAACAACAAATAAAACAGTTAATTCCTCACAGCATGCTCTTATAGCAGATCTGTCTTCACCTACCCTTCCTCCAACTGAGAACAGAGGATCCTAACTAAATGAAATCCTTACACCTTCCCTCACCGCTTCACCGTGCTCGTATTTCCACTGAAAATTCCAATTAATTCATTTTGTAGAGCCCTCCGAGCAGATCAAACACAACTCTACACTTAATCGATGACTAATATTTCACTTTTCAATCGAGTCTTTCCAAAGCATCAGAGATATGCCTCATTGTCGGTCTCCTTTCGGGGCTGCTCTGTATGCATGCCATTGCAATCTTCAAAACTGCAATAATCTCATCCTCCTTATCTGCATCATCCGCCAAGTATGGATCCAAAACATCTCCGAGTGGCTTTTTTTCTTCGATGCAAAGCTGAATCCAGCTAACCAAATCCATTTCTGCGTTACCCACTTGGACTACTGGCAATCTTCCAGTGATCATTTCTAGTAAGATCACCCCATACGAGTAAACATCCCATTTTTGCGATGGCTTCACCACTTGTAGTGCCTCGGGGGCTTGATAATAGCATCCAAAGCTTGCAGCTGAATTGACTGTTGCAACTTCTGATGGGGAGTTGCTTGGTTGCCTTTGAAGACATTTCTCAGAAGCCACTCGACTAGATTGCAGGGTTGGGGTTCCTCCGGCTATGTTAGCAAGGCGTCCAAGCCCAAAGTCGGAGATTTTGGGCTCCATGTTTGCTCCAAGTAGTATATTACTCGGCTTCAAGTCTCCATGGACATACTTTTTTGGACTGTACTCGTGTAGATAAACCAAACCTTTAGCTATTCCTTTTATTATTTTCAGACGAACAGACCATGGCAGAGGTGTGAAGGATACCATTCCAGCCTTCCCTGTTGATATTAAACATCCAAATGAAACAAACAACCAACCCAAACTAAACCTTATGTCCCAATTAAGTGGGTTTGGCTACATAAATTATTATTCGCTATTCTGCAATGTCAAGAATTATATGCTTAGTTAAATTAAATAAATTCATATGTTCTTTCATTACCACATCCCATGTCAGCTTAGGTAAAAGCAAGAACGTATGCCAAAAAAATAAAAACGTAAGCTGGAAAGCACAATAACTACTTCATTCAATTAAAACAAAAATAAAAATTTGGCAAGAGGGTGGTTTGGTGAAGCTTACCATGAATTGCGGTTGCAAGGTTTCCATTAGGTATGTAATCATAGATGAGAAGCTTCTCATCAACCGACCAATAATAGGCTCTAATTGTTACAATATTGGGATGCCTTAGCTTCCCAATTGCTTCCACTTCTGTCTGAAACTCTTTCAACCGCTGAGAGCCTCCTTCTCCCAATCTTCTAACCGCCAAGGTAAGCCCATCTTCAAGCACAACTTTATAAACAATCCCAATCCCGCTCTTTCCCCCTAGCACAAAAGCTGATGCTTTCAGAAGCTCGTCTAGATCAAAACCGACCTGCGTATCCAATGGTACGAGATCATACTGCTCCACATTTTCTGATAAAGTCTCAGATTCATCTATTGTGAAGCATAGACAGTCTTTCCTTCCTTTCCCTCCCTTCTCAAAAATATAACCGTTCTCATCCTTTCTCTTGCTACAGGGACAAACTCTCGAGTAACAATATGAGAAGAGAAGCCCAAGAAGGCAAATTCCAACGACATCGCTTACAACAATCACAATTATGGCACTTTTACTTAGCCCTCTTCCACTCCCACTGGGCCACATCACAGGAACTGGTATTTTGCAGGGAGTTGTTACCTGGCAAGAAAGGGTACGAGGAAGGCGAACTTGCACCCTCTGAACATGGATTTTTCAAGGGAGGGCCACAAAGACCGGGATTTCCTATAAAAGCCGTTGGTCCTCTGTTCATAAGAGCACCGGTTTGCGGTATTGGCCCACTTAGATTGTTATATGTGAGATCAATATAGACTTTCTCAGGAAGGTCACCAAGGCTAGCTGGGATTGAACCACTAAACAGATTGTGAGACAAATCAACAGTACCTTGCAAATTAGCCAACAATCCCAAGTCACTAGGAATTGGACCACTGAATTTGTTGAAACGAAGGTTTAGTTTTTCAAGGGAAACCAAATTAGTCCCAAACCCACCAATCAAAGAACCAGTGAAATTGTTTTGACTGAGATCAAGGGTTCTCAATCTCTTGCACTGAATCAATGATGTGGGTAATGACCCATTGAAGAAATTTTGTGATAAATCTAAGTTTTGAAGAAATTTGAGCTTCCCAATCTCAGAAGGGATAGACCCAGATAAGGAATTTCCATAAATGACCAAACTCTGTAGCCCTAGAGCTCTAAAGAGCTCAACAGGTAAGCTTCCAAAGAACTTGTTGTTCCTTAGATTGACATGTCTAAGGTCAGAGAGAGATCCAAGAGAAGAAGAGAGAAACCCATAGAGTTTCTTCTTTGGAATGCTAACAGAGACAACTCTTTGTTCTTTGCAAGTCACACCATTCCAAGAACAAGGGTTTTGATCAGAATAGTTCCAATTGTTGAGAGACCCTTCTGGGTCTTCTCTAATGGACTGTTTAAATGACAGAAGAGCAAACCCTTCATCATTCAAAGAACCCACTAGAGCTTGAGAATTAAAGAGGAGTAAAATGAGCAAAAACAAAGCTAACATCTCCCAAAAGCTGAAAGAAAAAAAGTGACCGTTGGAAATTGAAAGATGGGTATGTTAGTGCTTACCTTTCTTCACCAGAAAATCAATTGAGGCAGTGAAACCCTAAGAGAAACAATGGAGTTGTACAGATTGAGAGAGAGAGAGAGAGAGAGAGAGCTTTGAACAGTGAAGCTTTGACAGTAGGAAAGTGTTGAACAATAGTAAAGTTGATTTCAGCTGGCAAGGCCTTGGGAAACTAGACTGTTAACAATTAAAAAACTAAAGGACCAAAAAAAATGAAAAAAAGAAAAAGAAAAAGGAGAAAGAGAAAGAAAGAAGGGGGAGTTACATCAAGGGGGACCCATTTTTTATTTATTTTTTTATTTTTTACCGATTACCTATATATAATAGAGCGAAAGTAAAAAGCTCTTTTTTGAATCTAACGCTGGTTGAATTATCAAAAATGTTTAGCAAGTGTTCATATTATTACCTTCGGTCCTAAGAATTCACTTACGTGTCATTTGTAACTCTTCTTCCCAATTTGTTGGTTGAAAAATAATACAGATCATTAATTAGTAGTTGTATTAGAGATGTGACAGCCTTAGCCACTGTCATATGTGTTTTGTATCTTAGGTCAAGTTTAACAAGTTTAGAATAAGTTAAAAAGTCAAAAAGTTACTCAAAAAGTTAAAAAGTTAACATTATTTATCAAAAGTCAATAATTACGGCTGCACAACTCCCAATTCTAATTTTTTCTTACAAATCAATTTTTATAATTTTTTATTATAATTTTTCTATAAAAAATCAAAAAATTAATCAAAACATCTATATTTCTTTCTTTAATTTTTTAGTTCAAAAAAATAAAAAAATATATTTATTTAGAACAGTATAAACAATTCCTTAATTTTTTTATTTTTTTTTATACTTGTCAGACCATTAATAGTAGTGTTAGAGCATCTCCAATGCACTAGGCATATAATACTTGTTAGTTAAAATGCCTAGTGTGATTTATTTTTTTCAATTCCAATGCACTAGACATATGATTAGGCATTTTGGCTCAACTCATATTCACTAGCTACATGTAGCTAGCCTTCAACGCTAGGCAAAATGTATTCAATCATTAGGATCATTTCCCTCCATCTTTGTTGTTGACGTGGCATTCTATAAAATTAATAGTATTTGGATAAATAGCTAAAATAAAGAGCATGATTGGAGTAAAAACATGAAACAGTTGATAGGTAAAATAAAATATATACTTTATAGTAATATTTAGATAGGTAAAATGCCTACTATCGTTAGAGATGCTCTTAGTGATAAGAATTTAGAGGAATTCAGCATTGTTGTTTGTTGGTTTACGTGTCTTTCTGGCCGTACGTTGTTTGAGTGAGGTAGGTGTACGTGTCTTCCGGTAAGTATTGCAACCGAACCGGGTGCAATCATCTGTCCCTCCTAGAATTTTCTTGTGTTCGCATTAATAGTAGTGTTAGTGATAAGAATTTAGAGGAATTCAGCATTGTTGTTTGTTGGTTTACGTGTCTTTCTGGCCGTACGTTGTTTGAGTGAGGTAGGTGTACGTGTCTTCCGGTAAGTATTGCAACCGAACCGGGTGCAATCATCTGTCCCTCCTAGAATTTTCTTGTGTTCGGTGGATCAAATTTTGCAATCAAACGATTCTCTCTCAACCGAAGGCAAATGCATATATGTATATACTCGTTGTTCTATTTCACTTCCCATCTTGGTTTAGCTTCGTTGTTTCTAGGTACGCAGATTACAGCCCAAACTCCACAACCTGGTATGTAATTTAGTGATTTTCTACTTCTTTTTCTGCTAGCTATGGATATATTGATATCTGATTTGAATGCCTCTGTTCTCTTGGGTGCTTGTTAGTGCTTACGCAAATTAGGCACACCACCTGTTTGACAATATGCCTGAACATGCAAACCAAAAAATTAGAGGCTTCCTTAATTGAAAACTTGCACTGAAAATGTGTGAATGCTCATAAAAGTTAGAGAACTCATACTCAGAAACTAAACCAATAATGAACAATTCACCGCAAACCAATTACAACATGCTGACCACTGTGTTTTTACCCCTAACCTATACGTATTTACATGTGATTGTTTATGAATCCAATGTCCTGTTTACCACTAACATAATCTTGCTTGTGATTGTTGCTACTGGTATTCTTCTTGGATCCTGTAAAATGATACCTGTAAATAAAATAAACATAACTTACATCCCCAGAACATATTGTATAAGTACTAATTACCAATACATTCAAACAATAATGAGTAAATAAAAATTTGGGCATGCGTAGATGTAATGAAAAATATGTTGACAACGGTGTTCGTTGGTACACACACACACACACGTATATATAAGAAAGAATGATAGATAGATGGTTGGTGGCAGTTAGTTTGTTTTTTGTTTTTCATCACTTAAATTACATCATAAAAGCTACTGAATAAATGAACCATCTGATAAAATATTAAGAAAACTAGAAATTAGAAGTCCGTCGATCCAAACCCTCAAGTCATCTACTGCACTATTTCCTTCATATCGGTGATAAAATATTAGGAAAAGACTCAATAGAATATCAAACAAGCCTATTTCTCCTTAAACCCAGTGCAACCATCATTTTCACATATCAAACCCTATCCCTGCCATCATTTTCAAGTTTATTGGATTGGAAAGGTTGGTTCATAGAACCACATTACCCTGCCATCATTTTCAAGTTTATTGGATTGGAAAGGTTGGTTCATAGAACCACATTAGTCAAAACTTGATACATATATATATATATATATATAAAAGACTGACACTACAAACGAAAAACCTTTGAAGCAAAAAACCTCTATTTGATGTTAACCACCTCAATGCTCAAACTGAGATTTAAGCTAAATTTCAATCAAAGTTTGATGAAGTAGTAACTTTGAGAGTAAACATTTCGGTCTCCTTTGGTTTTAGTAAAAAATTGAATAAAACACAATTTGATAGAAGTTTAGCTGAAGGAGTAAAGGATTGATTTTCATGCAAATTTGAATTTGATAGAAGTTTGAGTTAAGGATTGGAGATGTGTAACAGACTATTTTAATATTCATATATAAATTACATAATTAAAAAATATATATAAAATGTATTTGCCTATTTGATAAATGAGAGAACACATTATTGTGAGACTTTTAGTGTTTTTTGAGCAAAATGGATGGGAAAAAGTTCCCACATGAAGAGAGACTTCTCATTAAAGCATATTGTCTTCTTTTCATTTTTAAATTTTACTCTGAATTAGAGACCCTTTTAAATTTGAAACTAAGATTTCTTCTCCTCCCTAAATCCACTTCCTCATCTCTTGCCCAAACCCAAGGAAAGGATATATAAGCAATACCTTTGGACTTGTAAAGACCTATCACCTCAACTCCACTGTTGTTGCAATGGAGATTTAAAGTATGAATAGTAATAATTTAACATATCAAAGTTTCATGGACTAGATTAGCAAGCATTTCTAATTCATTGTTAAAAAGAATGATTAATGTGAGAATATGTTTGTTTTTTTTTGTCCGCATGATGTAATGAGATGGTTGGTGGCTGACCACTAGCCAAGGACATGCCTGTTACTATATTGTAGATGAAAAAAAACTCTCCTACATCTTTCATGGCCTTGGAGTATGAGGTCTGGTAATAGTAAGCCAATAGAAATGTTATTTAGTATATAAGGCCTGTGTTGAAGTTTGCATTTAATTGTTCAAGTTGTTCTACGCTTCAAGTTTAAAATGATGGTGCTCAAAAGGGATAAGTTACGGCAAAACATTTCCTTTTGTGTTTTTAGCATCATAGTCAAAAAGAACAATTGGCATATGGAAATAATAAAAATAATGACAGGGAAAAAATCAATTACAATGAAAGAGAAAATGCTCTCCCACAATTTCAGCTTCTATTTTTTCTTTTCCCTAATTGGCTGTTTTACATGGTGATGAAGCATGCCATTCTGATTCACTGTCTATTTTTTGTTCCTCAAACAATCTATGATATATTTATTTTTATGTATAAATAGTAGAGCAATAGCTAACTGGTAGCCTGCCTTGATATTTGTGATTTGAACTATTTATTGAAATCATACCCATATGGTGCTTTTATTCTATACTTTAGTGTTTTGCTTAGCAGCGGAGATATATTGAAATGTCTCAGAATGCTAGATGTTGCTTGTTTTGTTGTTTGTAATTAACTACAGATGCTCAACAACATAGGACCAATGTAATTAGCCAAGCCTCCATTTGCTTTGCTGTAAAATATGCCCCTCATTTTCTTATGTTTGTTAATAAGTTAGGAAAACAATTTTTTGTAACATGTTTGCAAATGCCTAAAATTAACTTTTCGATTCCAAATCAATAAGTTATTTTCCGACTTCCAAATCAAAAATTTTGGTTACAGCAGAAACTATGTGAGACAAATAGTCAGATAGTGTCATGGGCCTAAGGAAAAATGGTTAGAGTTCTCAATGAACTACGCATTGTGTCCACACTGTGTAGTTCAACCACATTATAACCCAAGATATGTGAATTTAAAAGTTTTTTTTTTAAAGTATGAATGGTTTATTAATAATATGCATTAATTATCTTGTGAATTATGTGGTTGCCCATGTTCTCGAACAAGCTGTTCTGTCAGCTCAGTTCCCTCTCTTGAGGATCATTCTACACTTCACTTTTTCACTGCATTGGGTTCCTTAGAAAACTTGAGAAAACAAAAGAAAAGAAATTTCGGGCCCTGTGCTCTATGTTGATTTTGTTAAAAAAATATAAAATGCTTGAGTCAATTGGTTACACTAAATTGTTATGTGAGGCATAATGTGTTAGAGATTTATGTTTTGCCCTTTTATTTTCCACACTTTCATGACGGAGCATTCATGAATTTATCATTGTTTTTGGCCTGCAATCATAGTTTCTGTTTCTTTGGTTCTTTAGAGAAACTTAGATCAATTGGAAGCATTATCGAAAAAGCTAAAGGCGGAAACCCTAAGAAGTTGAGCTCTTACTTAACCTATTGTTACCACTATGTACTTATCTATCTCTCTGTTATATACACACATCAATTTTATGCATTATTAAAATACATACAGATGTGTACACTTATTATGCATATGTGGACATTTAAACATACACAAACACTGACACTCAAGTTCGTGCACAAGTTTCTCAAGATGACTTTGAAGCAATGATAATTTACTAGTTTGGATGATGAGAAAATACAGGAAAGGATATGAGAAGTTGGAACTTGCAAGTTTGTAACAAATTGGGTTTGCAATGATTGTTTTGAGATTCCATGGTTTATTTAATAACAGCAGAGGATATCTCATCCTTTTTTCCAATTTGGGTTTGCAATGACCTCTTTTCTGGTTTTCCTCAGGAATCAACTATTTGAGAATGTCTGACTAATAATTGTCAATAGTTTGATATTCTTCCATACTTCTGAAGTTTTTATTTTTCCCCTCTAATTTATATGCAAGCTATTAGTGCATGAAGGAATAAATGCAAAGCAGCTTGCTCAAGATCTTAAATCTTTTGAATTAAAGGTAATTCTTTCATATCTTCAACTTGATGCATAATTTGTTCTCATTGACTGCCACTTATGATATTTATATTAGAGTAATTCAATAGTTTTGTTAAGTTGAAATTCTATATCAAGTGAATGTAATCGTACCATGGATTTCCACAATTTTGTCCTCTTTTTTATTTTTTATTTTTCACTTAGTATTGTTTATTTATTTATTTTTTATCCGTCCTCTCATATTTTAACTTTCTTCTTCAAGATGACTTTTGAAGATGTTTTCCCTGCTGAGGCAACAATCGTGGAAGAGTATTTGCAATAGGTAACTTTCATTCATTTTGTTGTTTATTGACAACATAAGATACTCTAGCGCTTGCTTTCTTGCATTGTTGTGTGTAAATTTTTGCTCACATTGATCAACGGAAAGAAGTTTGTAAATTTTCGTTTATATTGCAATACAGAGAAAAAAGTTTTTCCTTCCCATGCACTTTGTTGGGTGCCATGTCCTGGAATACCAATATATCAGTTATTGTGCATTACAAAGACAAATAAAGTAGTTTTAACTTTGGTTGTCATTTATGTGAATTCCATAGACTTACACACAACATTTTTTGTCAAGCATATGGATGTAGCTAGCTATCAAGCATTCACTGTTTTATAATATATGTCACTGTTTTGAGATACCATAAAAAAATTCATTTTGAAATCTTGTGCGATAATCAATTTGCCTTTAGTGGGTGATAGAGGGAGGTGTTATGAATTTATTTCAGTGGCAATATGGTCTAAAAAGCAACTGCATGTTTGTCTTTGTGTGAGCATGGCTTACTACGTATCTTTCACCTTCTATCCTACATGCTTGCCTTTCCTTTTCGGATGTTAATAATGGTCCAATACGTGATAGGCCCCATTGGCATGTTGTTCTTTGCTGAAGAGCAAGAGGAAAATATGGCAAATATGATGATAAGGCCCATACAAGTTTAGCAAATCCATTTCAGAATAATATGCAATGGTTATAAGATAAATGAATTATGAAAGTTCACAAGATAGTTAATATTATATGTTCATACTTTTAGAAATATGACTTAGTTTGAGATACCAACTGGTCGGTTTGAATGGTTGCTTCCTTTATTTTCAATTATCTAATAAATTGAATGCAATACACCATAGGCAACATGGTACAATGTATAAATACAAAAAATAAATACTCCAACTACAATGCGACCCCCAAAACTCTTCTTCCATCGACCTATCATTCTTAGCCAATAATACGGCTATATGACTTTATTCCTAGCCAACGACGCGTGGGGGTCCAACTAGTATATATAAATATGAAAGAGTGCAAGTTACATTTATCTCATATATATATATATATATATTATTAAAAATAACGTTTTTCTCTTATATAGGTGATACATTCTAAAATTTTATTTTTTTTAAAAAAAAAATCATACACAATGAAAATTTATGACATTTTGAAGTTTGAATAAAATAAAATAAAATAATTAACTTGATAATTAAGGCGCTCTCATTAAGGACAAATTTTTCCGAATATTTATCAAAATTTGAAGAACATAACTTAACTTATTAAAATAATAAAATACAAGGTGATTTGAAATTGCCAATTGTTTGCCCATCACAATCTTCTTATTTAACAGCTGATCATGGAAGTTGGTAACACTTAAACAACAAAATCTCTCCTTTTAACCCACCGTACCTATATTAAAATTATTTAGAATTTTGTATCATGTAAAACAAAACACCAAATCGGACCATACACAAAACTCTCAAATTCCCAATTTATCAATTTGATTTCAATAAAAAGTGAATCAAGGTTTAACCAAAGAGTAGTGCAAACCTAATATAGTATACCCAGATATACACATTTATGTAAAACTTAACAGACAATTAAGCAATTAAAAAAAAAATAAATACAAATATTATTGAATAATAAATATGAATGTATATACTAAATAGTTATACAGTAGAAGGACTTTTAACTTTTACTAAAATAATTACGTGTCAAAAAATAAAAATAATTTAAATTATATATATATATATATATAATATATATGAATAATTCAAAAAGAATATTTAAGAAAAAATCAATACTCTATAAAATTAATTTAAGTATTTTCTTCATCATCCAATCACAATATATTTATATTTAATTTTTTAAATAAATTCTGTGTAGTCTTATTTTTATATATTTTTATTTTCTAAATAAATATAAAAATAAAAATAAAATTAAATAATTAGAATCACTTTTAATTTTATATTATTAATTCTCTTTTTAATTTAACTATTATTTTTAATATCAAATGAATGTTTATTTTACTATCTTATAATTTAATATATTATATAAAATTATTATATGATAACTACACTTTTATAGCATAATAGAACTAAAATTATCAAAATAAATAAATAATTTAACTAAATTTATTATATATAAGTATTCAAGTAACACTTTTATAAAATGACAAGGCTAAGATTATTAAAATAAATATTTTAAATTAAAATTTTATTTTAAATTAAAATTAATAATATTTTTTTGTAACACATATCATAATATAAAATATCATTACATTAATTAAAATTAACTCCATTGGGATTTTATGTTAGACATTATATTTCTAGAAGTGATTTACAAATACATGTAGCGTCTAAATTGATATTGAATGATTAAAATAATAGAATCCAATACTTTTTTGTTAAGTTTTTAGAAGATTGATTGACAAATGTCAAATGATAAATAGTGCGGCGTATTATTAAATAATATTAATTCATCGAAAACGATAGTGTGGAGTTTTTATTTTTTTCAGAAAAAAAATATTTTGATACAAGTGAAATTCATGATTTTTGGTAAATTTGATTAACACAAATGAGACTTTGATTTCAGGTTGACAATATACCTTTTTTAAAAAAAAATTGAAAGAATTTGTTCGTATGAGCCTATTTTATATAGGATCACACATAGTGACAACAATTTTCATGAGCCATTAACAAATCTGCTTGTATTTAGCTTCAGTTGATAAACTTTTCTACACATAAAATATTAAGACACAAAATTAATTTTTCATTTTAAAAATAAATTCTCGTGCATCGCACGGGTCACCTACTAGTACTCCTATAATATTTTACTTATACCTCATCATAAAATTACTTACACCCCACATATTTTTATAATTTTTTTCTTGTTTTCTCTGTACTATAATTCCTTAAAAAATGAAGGTGTTGGTGAAAAAATCCAGCTATTTATGGGTGTTGGCATCCTTCAGTAGCAAAGTAAGACAATGAGTTGGACAATTGTGTTTTTTAACATTTTTTTAATTAAAAAAAGGGAAATTTACTAAGAAATCCCAAAAGTTAATCTTATGATCTATTTGGTCCCATTTTTATTCTAATGTTCCGTTTGGGCCTTCCGTTTGTGAAAGGTTGTAATCGCCATCGATGCACTTATTAATGTATGCATTACAGCTTTTTGTGAGTGGAGGATGTGTATGCGCATAGGCCACACGGGGTGTAATATGTAGTGTGTTATTGTTGCTTGAATTGTGTCACGTGACATATGATGGAGTGTCACAAATCAGTAAAGCGTACTAAGGGGTTTTGTTGTAGAAGTGTGGATTTTGTGGAAGCCACAGGTCACACACCGGGTTAACCCATACATGACAAACAAACCCGATTTCGACATCCACATCCCCACATCCGTGTAACAGTAACCCGCTTCATACATCCACAATCACACCACATACATCCACAATCACACCACATTTCGATTGGATATTCCGCAGAAACCCTAATGTTGTGATTTCTTCGAATTTGTAGATTTTGATTGACCGTATATGCTGTTGTGTGATTCGGGGGGAGGGAAGAGGAATATTGAAGATTGATTGGTGCTGATTGTGTGTTGCTGTGTTACATTGGGCGGTCATTGGTGTGACATTGTAAATTGTTGAACGAAGCATCTTGCAGATCTATGCTATGGCGGAAAGCGGTATGTCACGTAACGTTGGTTTGTAATGCATGTGTGACAATGTGGTGCTATGTTATTTGTTGATTTCCTTCCGATTATCTGTGTGTGTGGTCGTATTTATTAGCAATCGTGCACTTTTGGTGGTGTGTTTTGTGATGTAGTAGTTGTTTTGCAATGTCAATGTCGTGTGCGGCTGTATGGGTGTCTGGTGTGTGGCGAGGCAGTGTGGGTGTGTGTAGCAATGATGTTATGGTGTGGGGTAGGTTTTTTTGTGTATTTTGTGTTTTCGTTGTGATGGTGTGTTCTTGTATGTCGTGTGCGAATGGCTTAGGGTTGTGGATATGTTAATGTGGTGCCGTGTGAGTTAGTTTGTATGGTTGTGTGACTGACAGTTGTAGGTTAAATTAGTATAATAAAGTGACGACCAAAAGTTGGGACCATAGCAAAGGGAATACATTATTTTGATATGTTTTGGGTATGTAAGGGTGTGGGGATGGGTCTGTAAGGATATGGTGTTTGTATTTATTTATTTTTTTGGTTAAAAAACTACAGGGCGTGTTTTGGAGTTGATATGCTTATGGCCCACATGTGTGGGATGCGTGTGTGTCATCGTAAAGCCGTTTTTGTTAACATTTTAATGTTAAATGTTGTCATATCAAATGGTACATTATCAACAAACTTAAATCCTTATAGTACCATATTCTGTTTTATGACGGGCAAATGAGTTGGTTGAGGGTGGGTCAAAATTAATTTGGGTTTTTGTGGTAATGAAATTGGGTGGGGAAGGGTGGGAATGTGATGTTAGTGTATATGGTTGTGTGTTTGATGAATGTGTGTCGAATGAAGTGGCGTAAAAGGTCCAATGGGGGTGTAGAACCACTTAAGAATAGAGTACTGTGTGTTGGTGTGGTGCTAGAACTGTAAGGATAAGGTGTGTGTATTTATGTTTTGGTTTTTAAACGCCGAGGCTTGCGTTGGAGTTGTTGTGGTCTTGGCCCACATGGGTAGGATGTGTGTGTGTCGTCGTGAAGTCATTTGTTATTGGTGTGAGGTTTGGGAATTTTTTTTGTAATTTTATTTTTTGGTTAACGTGTTTCATGTTAAAAGTTGACATATCCAATAATACATTATCCGCAAACTAAGATCCATATAGTCTCATATTTCGGTTGTGGCGGCAAAATGAGTTGATTGTGGGTGGACCAACATTAATTTAGGGCATTGTGGTAGTGGAAATTAGGGGGTGTGTGTGGGAATGTTATGTGAGTATTTGTGGTTTTGTGTTTGACAAGCGTGTGGCAACTGAAATGATGTAAAATGGGCAACGAGGGTTTGGGAGCACATAAGAATATAGTACAATGTGTTGGTGTGGGGCTGGGTTGGTAAAGGTGTGGTGTTTGTAGTTGTTTTTTGTTTTTTAAACGGAGGGGCTTGTTTTGGAGTTGTTGTGATTGTGGAACGCATGTGTGGGATGTGTGTGCGGCGTCTGTGTGTGTCGTCATGAAGTTGTTTGTTGTTGATGTGGTGTTTGGGAAAATGATGTTATTATTATTTTTGTTAGCTTGTTTTATGTTACATGGAGTTCTAAGCGGATTTGTTACGTATTTGGTGATTGTGGGTGGGGGTACATTACTTTAAGCCAATGTGGTTGTGCTTAGTTGTGACTGGAAATGAATGTCACTGGTGGTTTGTGGTAAATGTGTCAAGATGTGTGTTGTATATGTAGATTGAAGTTTTTCGGAAAAGATGTTGGTTATGTGTAATTTGTGTAGGTCACGTTTGTTGTTATGGAAGTTTGTTTAGGTTGTTGGGTGTGTGTTTGTGTTGGGTTGTTGTTTGCTTGTATGGTTTTGTAGTACACGTAGTTTTTTTTTTTTTTTATTGACATGTGGTATGTTGGTGTTGCAGAGTGCAATAGGGTACATAGCCTGTGGACACGTTAATGTGAAAGGAGACGGGCTACGAAAGAAACTAGTTCAAAGGCAAACACCTTGGGAGTGAAAATGCAGTGACGAATTCTATTCAAACAGTCTAAAGTTGGTCACAATGCCGTGGGACGCAATGTGACTAAGTCTACAAAAGATCCCCCGCGTCAGACACGTCAGGCACACACAAGGCTGAACTACCGTTCTAATGTTGCAGGGATAGTGAAGCTTGTTAGTTTGGAAAATTTGAGGAAGGCACACTTGAAACTGCTGAGGAAAACACCGTTTTGGGTTATGATCGAGGCAATACACATTAACAATTTGAACCATAATGAATTTAGGAAGTGTGATGATTTAATCTCCAAGATAATACGAGCGTATGATCAGCGGGATAATGCTTTTCACATTTGAGGGGCCAGTGTGAAACTTGGTAGTAGTGACATCAGGTTAATTTTCAGTTTGCAATGCTTAAAGAGGCGTTTAGATTTGTCACCGGGGCAATGTATCAGACTTCATTCAACGTAGATGCCGTGACGCTTCACGCATAACATCGAAGCTTGTGAAGACGTTATTCCTGGAGGTTGTGAATGGGCGGTCCAAACAAGATGAGGAAGACGCAACGAAGTTGTTGGCATTGTATATGTGTGGCAAATTATTTTTCGCTAACTCTGGGAAGACAATAAGTTAGGCCTTTGTTCGGTATATGAATGACCTGAACACTATCAGAATGTACAATTGGACTGGAGCAATACTAACAACATTGATGGGTTTAATTCAAGAGTTCCATCGCACACTCGGAAAGGCGACTGGTTGTGTGCTCGTGCTAATGGTATGTTAACTGTTACATGTAGATAGTGGTTTAATTTTTTTTTTGTTATCCGTAATTGGCTGAAAATTTATTTTGTGTTTTGTTGGTAATGTAGTATTGGATATGTGAACATTCAACAGTACTTAAGCCTCAAACCGACAACATGTTCCCCAGATTTTTGAAATGGGACATTGGGGCATTGATTAATAAAGTTCAATGGGTCGATCTGTCTGGTATCATCAAGTTTTAGGTATGGTTGTTGGGTTTAGTTGGTGGGTGCAGTGATGCATTGGGACATTATTAATGTTCTTGTTTTGATGAGCACAGGTGATAGTCGACCGACTAAGGCCGTTTGATTATGAACGTGAAGTTATGGGAACAGACATTGAGGTGATGAAAGGTGTTGTAGCAGATGTTGTGGATGGTGATGATGGTGATGAGCACTTCATGGATAAGGTGAAGGTTGCCGTCACATCCAATGATGCGCCGATGCATATAGGCAATGTTGAAACTAGTAGTGGCAACGGATGTGAACAACGCAGTTCAGGAAATGTGCAACATCCGAACATGGTTGAGTGGGGGATTGAGACAGACAGATTACATGGTTAGACGGCTGAACAAGGCCATAACGGGCCAAATGATATGAAACTTGAAGAAGCAGTACGTGTAATCGCAGATCTTGAGCTGCAGAATCAAAAAAATGAGGAAATAGTCGTGTTGCTTAAAGAAGATGTTGCCGAGTTGAAGAGAAAGTTGGAGTTGCAAGCTGTGAACATAGTTGGGGGGTTTGAGAGTGTATTGCAGATGAAAAATGAGGAGTTAGATAAGTTGAAGAATGAGAATATGGAATTGCAAAACAAAGTTGTTAGACTTATTTATTTTGATGATTTATTTAATTATGTTTTAATAGAATCAAAATTTATTTTGATGATTTATTTGAAAGAGAAAAATAGAATCAAAATTTATTTTGATGATTTATTTGAAAGAGAAAAATAGAATCAACATTTATTTTCATGATTTTATGTTTTAATTTATTTGAAAGAGAAAAATAAAATCAATATTTATTTTGTCACGTTATTTTTTACCTAAAACTTTTATTCTAAATATTGTTAGAATATATTTAATATTTGATTAAATAAGAGGTTCAAATAGCCCAAAACAAAGGTTCAAACAGCCCAGCACAGCAGCAGGCCAAAAGGTTCAAGTGGAAGATATTCAAATTAGAAACGACAGCGTTGAAGATATTCAAATTAGTAATGATGGAGTGGAAGAAATTCAAATGAATACAACGGCTATAAACGGCTATGAATTCAAATGAATACAACGGCTATAAACGGCTATAAATTCATATTAATACAATGGATATAAACGGCTATAAGTTTCATTATATATACCAAAGCCTCTAATGTAAACAAGTTACAAAAAAAAAAAAAAAAAGACTAGAAAATATTCTTTGATCTATAATCACTCACATCTATTCTCTGAAAAATTCTCTGAGAAGTGTTCTTCAATTTTTGTTTACATCCTCTTTCAGAAATTATACACTGAGACGTATAACTTTAAGTTCATCTTTCCTATGTAAGGTTTACAGAAAAACCAAAGTTTCATTTTTATATCTATCTTTGAGAGATAATTCTTGTAGCTTTCTGTGAAAGCAAAAACACCTTCTTTTCAACCTTGTAAGAATGTAGTACACTCTATATTTATCTATTGTGCTAGTCATAATTTTTATTAGGATATTATTAATTTTAATTACAAAAACTTAATTCACCCCCCTTCTTAGGTTGTCTTTTGGGTAACAATTGGTATTAGAGCCTAGACTCTTGTTTTAGATTTAACCATCTGGGAGTTTCAATCCATGGCAACCTTAGCTGAAGGACAAGTCACAAATAGGCCACCATTGTTTGACGGAAACAACTATAATCATTGGAACGATAAGATGACCCTATACTTACAAGCCACTGATTATGACATGTGGATTATTGTCACCGAAGGTCCAAAAATTCCTACCAAATTAGTAGACAATATTAGTGTACCTAAAACTGAAGATGAATGTGATGAGAGGGATCATAAATTATTGCAAGCCAATGCTAAAGTCAAACTCACCCTTGTTTGTGGATTAGATTCTAAGGAGTATAATAGAATTTCAAGTTGTGATTCAGCAAAAGAAATTTGGGACAAACTTGAGGTAACGTATGAAGGTACAAACTAAGTGAAGGAATCTCGTATTGATATGCTTGGTCATAGTTATGAATTGTTTAAAATGAACTCTGATGAATCTATTTCAAGTATGTTTACTAGATTTACTGAAATTGTAAACTCTTTGAAATCTCTTGGCAAAACTTATACTAACAGTGAGTTGGTGAGAGCCGGATCCATCGTATGTATTGGATTGGACCGACTTAGAGGTTGATGAGGATGTCTCGTATGAGGAGAGACTGGTGCGGGTCTTGGATAGACGGGATCAAGTCTTGCGAAGCAAGACGACACCCTTGGTAAAAGTTTTGTGGAAACATCACGGGATTAAGGAAGCCACTTAAGAACGTGAGTTGGATGTCCGTGAGAAATATCCAGACTTGTTTGTTAATGTTTAACCACGTATTGGGAATTTTGTTGTATTGATAAACTTTAAGAATATTGGATATGTCTTAAGTTGTAAAACATTGTATATGTTTTGGTTTATGGAACTATTGTGAAGGTTGAGTATGCCTTGAGAATGAAAGTTTATTTTAACATTGTGTATTTTAAATATGTTGTAGAAATGCAAGTATGTTATTAACGTTGCATATGTTATGGAATTGTGGATTATGATATCGAATCTTGTTAAAATTCAAAGGAATGCATGTTAATAATGCACGTTGAAAACTATATTGTGAAACGCCTCTTAAATAGAGATGGAATGACCGGTAATGGATCAGGATGTGGAATATTGAATTGTAATGTTGTTGAGAATTGAGAAATCATGTTTTTGAAAACTTGTATCTAATTTCGGGGACGAAATTCTTTAAGGGGGGAGGTTATAGCGATCCCGGTTTTCTCTCCTTTGGTTATTGTGTTCCGGACTTAGGTTCCGTAATGTTGGTTGTTGTATGTACCTTGCTTCCATCCTTCAATTCCATAAATTTGAGTTTTAGGATGTGTTGGGCAGGTTTGTAACAGGTTGGTTGTGATTGGGAACAAATGGTTGCTGCCCAGATTTTTGTGTCTTCGCTCGAGCGAGACTTTTATCGCTCGAGCGAGCTCTGTGTTTTAGCTCCTTCGCTCGAGCCAGGGTTCCTTCGCTTGAGCGAGAGTTGGGTGATGTGTATGGTGGCTCGAGCGAGAAGTCTTCCGCTCGAGCTTGCATCTGCGTCTGGTTCTGGACCTGAGAGTTGCATTTCTTGGCTCGAGCGAGCTTTCCTTCGCTCGAGCGAGCGAGCTGTATGTTTTGGGTTTCTTCGCTCGAGCGTGCTTCTGGGTTGCAGACCTGAAGCTTCAAATTGTTGGCTCGAGCGAGTCTTTGTGCGCTCGAGCGAAGTTTCTTTGTGTCTGAGCGACCACTCCTTCGCTCGAGCGAACTTCGAATATATCAGTTGGCAGCAACGGGTTAAACATCACTTTTGCATCTCCCTTTTTCTCTCAAACCCTAGATCGGCTGCTCCCTCTCCCTCTATACACCTTCTCTCTAAAAATACACCTAGTTCTAGTGTGTTTCTATCCTAGTCCCTTTGTAGAAAGGTACTACTTGGTGTGGGCTTCACTTCAATCCGAAAAAGTGGGTGTTTGGAGCACCTTGAGTTTGCATCATCTTCTCCATTTGGTCTCTTCTTTTGAGGTAGGGATAACCTACTCCTCTCTATGAGTTTTGACATAAATGTTGTGTATTTTGAATAGATGGGGCTGTTTGGTGATTTTGGGAAAGTTAGGGTTTGTTTTAGTGTTATAAAAAGGGAGTTTTCAAATGTTAAATCCCATGTGTATGTGAGGCCTTAGAAAATGGAATTAGTGTTGTTAAATTGATGAAATTGAACCTTATGGTTGATAATGGAAAAATGGGGAAAATGCCCTAATTATGTCAGATAATTAACTTGAATAATTAATTTGGGAAATTGTGAAATTGAGTTGGAAATTGTGAAATTGGGAAATTATGAGAGTGATTGGTGTAGTTGGATAAATTAATCACTCACCTATGAAAATGTTGTTATTTTATCTATTTAATGCATTTATTATCTGTTTAGAAATAACTGCTTTGGGCTATCGGTGGAGGATAGTCTAGATTGTTGTAGACATTGTATGTTGATTAGGGAAAACTGAAACTAATCAATCATGTTATGCCATTGAATATAACTGTTGAAATAATACAGCAAATATGTGTATTGATTGATTATTGTATATGATAACTGTTTAAATACATTGTACATGTATATTGTTTGGGAGGAGATATGGGATGTACTCCATGGTTTGAGGGAAGATAGGGGATGGACTCCATTAATACAACAAATATGTGTATTAAATTGAAGTATTAATACAACAAATATGTGTATTAATTGAAGTGTGGAAGTATTTTAATATGAGTTGTAGACTCATCTGAATCGTGAATAAAGAAAGTGTTTTAATATGGGATGTAGTCTCATTTAATTGTTTGGCCAGGTTCTGAGCCATGTTTATGAATTGATTTGGATAAGTAAAGGAAAGTGAAATGAAACGTGGGCATAATTGCCATGGAACTATATTGTGATATAAGTTGGTTTATAAGTGCTAGCCATCTATAATGTTTTAGTTATTTCTCATACTTGGTTTAGTATATCTCTACTGGGCATTGGCTCACCCTGTATGGGACATCATTTTCAGGTTCAGGAGCTATACCACCTCCATGGACGTAGCTTGGGAGGCTTAGAGGCAGAAAGACTTTTTGTTATCTTTTGTTATCTCTTTGTATTATATGTAAATCAAGCCAATGGCTTATTTTGTATAAAGAGTTAGTACTCTTCTTTTGTTGAACCCAAGTGTTGACTTGGAAAGTTGTAAGCCCATAAGGCATTTACTTTTGTAGTCAACATGTAATACTCTTGTACTTAACACTCTGATGTATGAAATATAATATCTCTTTCTTGTTTCATGAATGTATGATTTATGAGTTTATTCTGAGGGCGTTACAATTAGTCACTTGCATGTTTTTGGTTGTAAATGTTTTGTGCATAATAATGGTAACGATAACTTAAGTAAATTTGATTCAAAATCTGATGAAACAATTTTTCTTGGTTATTCCTTAACTAGCAAAACTTATCGTGTTTTTAATAAAAGAACTCTTGTTGTGGAAGAATCTATACATGTGGCATTTGATGAAATTTACATCTCTGCTCAAAAGAAAATTATTAGTGATAATATAGATTTGGAACCAAATGTGAAAGATTCAAGTATCTACAAAGAAGAGAACCAACCATGTAAGTTGAACAAAGAGATTGAACAACCTATTCTCCCACCTCAAGAAGAATGAGGAAACAATGATAATTTGCCAAGAGAATGGAAGTTTGTTTATAATCATCCTAAGGATTTAATCCTAGGTGACCCTAAAAAATGTATTGAAACTCGCTCTTCACTTAGAAACATTTGTAGTAACTTGGCTTTTCTCTCACAGATTGAGCCTAAAAACTTTCAAGAAGCCAAATTCGATGAACATTGGATGATAGCTATGCATGAAGAGCTTAACCAATTTGAGAGAAACAAAGTGTGGAAAGTTATGCCAAAACCTAAAAATCATACCATTATTGGTACCAAATGGATCTTTCGAAACAATCTTGATGAATCTGGCACAATTATAAGAAACAAGGCTAGACTTGTTGCACAAGGATACAATCAAGAAGAAGGTATTGATTTCGATGAAACCTTTGCTCTGGTTGCTAGATTAGAAGCCATTTGCATGTTACTTGCATTTGCATGTTTTAGAGATTTCAAACTT